TGCCGAGGGAACGCGCAGAAAGTGAAGGAGGGCAGGCTGTCCTACTCGGGCCACTCCTCCTTCTCCATGTGCTGCATGCTGTTCCTGGCGCTCTACCTTCAGGCCAGGATGCGGGCGGACTGGGCGAGGCTCCTGCGGCCCACACTGCAGTTTGGCCTCGTGGCCACGACCATCTACGTGGGCCTTTCTCGCGTGTCCGATTACAAGCACCACTGGAGCGACGTGCTGACGGGGCTCATCCAGGGGGCGTTGGTCGCAGTGCTGGTGGTGGTGTATGTATCAGATTTCTTCAAGGAGAGAAATTCTTTTAAGGACAGAAAGGAGGAGGCTTCTCAGACAAACCTGCATGAAACGGCCTCGGGGGAGAATCACTTCCGGAACAATCAGCCCTGAAGGCGCGAGGGCCGAGGGAGAAGGATGCTGCCCAGAGGGCGCGTCCCTGTGTGTGCACAGCCTGGGAGGGACTCTACTGCTATTCCCTACGCTCACTTCCCTGTGTGTACATAGTTCCCTAACACGGCGGCTGTCTAATAGCTCCAAGTCCACGAAGAAATGTCAGCCTTTCAACAATGCCTCACCTGTACATTGTTATTAAAAACGCAATGCTTATGTAAAAAAAAAAATCAGATCAGATGAGAAATTTATTGGTGATGTCAAGGACAAAGGAGAGGTATAACTTTTCAGACTAATGCTTTCTCTGAGAAAAACTAGAACAGCCAGATTAAAAACAACCTATTTGAAGAGATTGGCGAATCACTGACACATTCTGAGGCTGAAGCTGAGAGAAGACTAGATACTTTCCAAGCCTGGCAGGGCAGCAGTGAGTCTCAAAGTTACTTCAGACTGATCAGGACAGAGGCTCTCATCCCTGCCCCAGACTGCCTCCCGACATGGCCAGGGTTTCCCCAGGAAGGCTTTCTCCAGGTTCATCCCCCTCAGGAGTGTCCTGCAGAGCCCTCTGGAGGACCAGCCTCAGGGTGTGTCTCCGCTTCCACCATCGCTGCCTGAAGGAGCCAACGAAGAAGTAAATGATGGGGTTGGCACAGCTGTTCATACAGGACAGAAGTACTACCATCATGTAAAGATAAAAGGCGTCATTAGGTTGATCTGGTATCTTGAAAAAGAGGATCCGGAGGATGCCGTAGGGCAGGCCGCAGAGGAGGAAGACCAGCACTGTGAACATGAGGGTCACGTAGAGCCTGGTTGGCAGCACCCGGTGGGAGCCACACAGCAGTCTGATTATCAGGGCCAGGCTGGACCCAGAGAGAAGCACAAATAACAAAATCAGCCAGGACACAGTGATGAACTCAAATACAGGATACACATAAGAGTTTAAAAAATTCAACTGGAGGATGGAGGCATGTTTATCCAGTATGCTCGGCAGCAGGGACAGGGCCCAGAGCAGGGCACACATGACAGCAGACAGGTGTCTGGGGCGGCGGCAGCGGTACCAGATGGGCCACAGGACAGACATGCAGCGCTCCGTGCTGATAGCGCTGAGAAAGCTCAGGCCTGAGATGTAGGCAAAGACTGACACAATGATGATAAATCTGTTCTGTGCTCTATGGGAAGAAGTGAAGTCGAGAAATAAATCTAGCATATATATAAACTGGCAGCAGAGGAAGAGGAAGTCGGCCCCCGCCAGGTTGAGGATGTAGACGGAGAAGGCGTTCCTGTGCATGCGGAAGCCCAGGAGCCAGAGCACCACTGCGTTCCCTGCCAGCCCCACCAAGTTCATGATGAGTATCAGTAATTTCAGGATTGTGATCCCTATATAATGTAGATGAAAGGCCTGACCACTTCCATTGGTTGGTGTGAGGTTGGTCTCCCAGGCTGTGACATCATATCCGTGCTCAGAAACGCTGCAGTTGTGGGCCTGGAAACAAAACAAGACTTGAGCACCTGCTCTATGACCACTGACCCTCATGCCACCCTGTCTGTGGCGAATGGAGGCTTCCAGAGATTAAGATTCTTTCTGAACCACACGGTCTTGGAGTCCCGGAGCCTGAATTTAAACCCAGTTCTCTCTGAATCTTAGAGCCTGGGCTCTTTCTACTGCAACACGGACTCTCTATGTCCAACCTCTGCACTGACCATAGAGCCCATGACATGTGCCCTGGAGGCAGGAGGAGAAGAGTCTGCACAGGTCCTGTGGATGACAGCAGGGTCCTGAGTTCCCCAGTACTTGTGCTCTGGGAGAGTGGCTTTGTTTGACAGCAGGCTGTCAGAAGCCCCAGGGCAATCTCAGTGACTGAGAGTGGTCTACCCACCAGGGAGAAAGGAGGTTATGACTTAGGCTCATGAAGGGAATGAGACCCCTTGTTAGGACAGAATGAGGACCCCCAACGCTTTTGCATTAGAAATGTGCCAGTGTGTCATGTCTATGAGGATAGACAGTGATTACTCTTCCCATTGTTGTGTCCCCAGGGCCTAAGTCTGTATGGGAACACCATGGGGCTGTCAATAAAATTTTAATCCACAAATGAATGAATGAATGAATGAATGAATAAAATTTGGATTTAATCCTATATAATAAAAACCTAGTATGCTATGTGTCCAACTGTTCCTTCGACTGCTCGACCAGTCGCTATGTCAGGCACTGACAACCAGGGGGCAGACACTCTGACCAGTAGGTTAGCTTGCTGCTGGGATCCAGCCAATCGGGACTGGGCTAGACAGGCTGGAAATGCCCTGGAGCCCTCCTGCAGTCCCCACCCCGATCATGAACTGGGTGGTTCCCTCAGCCTGGCCTGGGCTCTCTTGCAATCTGGACCCCTCAGGGAATGTCGGATTGCCAGTATTGACCCGATCCCCACAGGCCAGGCCAAGGGACCCCACTGGTGCATGAATCTGTGCACTGGCCATCTAGTATAATATAATATTTTTTAAAATGAAGAATTTTAAATATAAGATATAAGTTAGCACATTTAACTCCACCATCAAAAAACACATATGTAACAAAAATAAAATTCCATTTCTAAGTTTTCATTCTGTGCAAAGCTCTTGTGTGTTTGAAATAATTTTTTTATGCCTGCAGACACCGCCTATCCAGGTGGGAGAGGACTCAGGACTGAATTAAATTTCTCTGCATTTTAGAGGAGAAAGAAGCCATTTTGAGAGGAGAAATAGAAGTGGCAAAGGGTTCGAATAGAGGTAGTTGAGACAGAAATACAGAAGGGGCATTATTAACTGGTTTTCCTATGATATGTGTAATAGGAAAGCCACTAATTGTCCCTACATGTGATTTGGAGTAGAGATTTCTTTGCAGATCAAAGCATTTGTGTAAGAGAATTCTCCTGGTGGTGGTGGAGTTAAGAAGTGCTTAGTTCTTTGGATGAAAAGAGACCAGCTCTTGCAGAATTTAGGTGAGAAAAATAAACCAACTCACACGTAGGTGAAGAGTAGCAGTTGATGAGTGCTCACATGGTATTACCTCTTTTAATCCTCAAATAGCCCTATGAAGCCAGTATTATGCCTATACCCATCTGGCATATGGGAAAAGACAAGCACAAGGATGTTGAATGACATGCTCCAGTTCTCACGTGCACAAGTGGAAGAGCCTGGATCTGAACCCACAGGTCTGTGTCAGAGTCTTCAGCTTTCCCCTACCTGCAGCCCCACTACCAGGGTGAAGTGTCCAGTACACATGGGGGAGCGGGGGAAGGCAGAAAGCAAGTAAACTCAGGGACAAATCTAAAATGGGAACTCATTTGTGTGTTTTATTGAATTAGAATAGGCAAATTTGGTAAATAACAAGGAAGTGAAGCTTATCCAGTGTGGAAGAAGTGGGTGGAATCCAGCTGAGAGCAGACCCGAGATTCCGGGAGTTCCTTCTTCCCTCTGGACACACCCAATCAGTCAATTCAGCCAGCACAGGCTCCCCCAGGAGAATCGAACCCCTCTACCCTTGAGTCTGTGGGCTGCTGCTCTAACCACTGAGTCAAACCTGCTAGCTCTTGTCTCCCTTTTTAAACTCAAACCTCAATAATGATGACTAGATCTGTCTGGATTTTGTCTTTTTTTTGTAGTCGTTGTTGTTCACTATTGTATCCTCGGCATCGAGCACATGTCCCTTAGAGACCATCTGCTATAATATCATCCTTTAACTCAGGAAGAAGCTGAGGCTGAAAGAGCCAAAGGATTTCCCTGAGATCACAGGGTGAACAGCAGGTCCAATGCCAGCCCTGGTCTCCTGGAGCCCAGCCTGAGGCTTTCCCACTGTTCTCTGCCTCATTGTGGGATCAGCACCTGAGCAAAATCTTCATGTGAGCTCAGAACATGAGAGAGCTTCAGGGGTGAGGAAAATGCTAGTTGGTCTAAATACCCATTTCCTTCTCTCTCACATAATAGTTCTGAGAGTTTTAGACCAGAAAATGGATTCTAATCCCAGTTTCCATTCCCGTTTGATTACACCATGTGACCAGGTGGTAGCCAATGGGGGGTGAGCACAAGTGATGTAACCAATTTTAGGTTGTGCCTTTCCTTCCCCTCTTCTCCTCTGGATGGAAGTTGATGAGTCTGGGAGCCCTGCATGAGAATGAAGTCACCTCTCTAGGGCTGGGGAGCAGTGATCTGAAAGAGCACAGGTGTCTGATGACTTGAAGTCACCAGTCCAGTACTAATAACCTCTTATACATTTCTTTCTAGGGCTACCAAAATCATAAATTGAAATTATTTAAAATATTTGTATACAACCACCTTGAAAAATAATGTACATTCCATCCTCAAGGCATTTATGATGAGAGATATTATTTTTAAGACGTGACACCCAGTAGGGGGGTGCCAACAGATCAAATAAATGAGATGTGATAACAAGTTGATGTAATCACAGTGAGAGAGAAAAAGTCCTAGGAAAAAGAACTAAGAAGAGGCTAAGAGAAAAATGGATTCTCTTCATTTGACGTCAAATTTCATTTTCAGTTTCTCTACCCTCCGCTGCATTCTGGGAGGACACATCTCTTTGCCTCACCATTGGGCTCTCTTTCCCTCTGGCTCCTGGTTGCTCTCAGGAAAGGGTGACACTGACAGCTGATTGGAGGGCAGAATGACAGTGATTGAGGTTTTAACTCCCTGCCTCTCTGCTGTCAGGCTGTGAGTTTGCCATGGTGGTGTTACTCTACCTAAGGAGATAGCTCCTGTCTGTTGGCCTTTTTTTTCGGTCATAGTGACCACCACTGCTACAGCCACAGCCTTCCTATGTTCTGGCAACTTATCTTTCTCTTTACACTTCAGGATGTGCAAGGGCAATATCTCCCTATTATGATTTACAGTGGGGCCTTGACTTACGAGTGTCCCGACTAATGAGTTTTTCGAGATACGAACCGTCTCTCGGCCGATTTTTTGCTTTGAGTTGCAAGCTAAAATTCGGGTTACGAGCCAGCTTCAGATACCCCACCGCTAGTTGGCGCAGCGAACGTCACAGTGAACGCCACAACATCAGCCCAGCATCACGTGTCTCACTCGTTCACTTTAAGATTTGACATAAGAGTAATTTGAGTTACGAGCTCTGTCACGGAATGAATTAAACTCGTAAGTCAAGGCCCCACTGTATCTTTAGGGGCCTCTGTATCCTTTATTGGTTTCCCTTAGTCCTGCTCACCCTTTATACACAGTCTTTTTATTAAAATCTCTAAAATTGCCCTATTTTTTTGTGCCTTGTGTTTTTGGCTGGGATAGGAATGACACATGCATAAAACAAACAAATTAACAAACAACCTCATAGAACAGCAAGGTAATGTGTAAAATCTGAGGTTATTAACAATAATTCAGTTTGAAAACAATGTCTGTGAAGCAGAAAGGACCTGGGTCCCTCACAGCCTAAGCTATCAGCACCCAAAGCTTCCCTGAGGGAGCTTCATGTCTCTGGACTCTCCTTCAGGGGTGCTCATGGCTCCTTGCATGCTCCATCCAAAAATGCAATCATGAGCATGTGGACTAAGAGGGAGAAAACAAAACTGCCTTTGAGAGAAGGTAGTTCTGAGCCGACTCTTACCTGAGCACCATCTTCTAGTTGAAAGTGGTGAATAGAAAAAGAGGAGCTTTCCAAGGAGTGCCGAACACCAGAGAATGCTCTCCTACCCCTGGATAGGGGGTGTCTGCAGGAGCAGGAGTGGAACCTGATGACCAAGAGAGGCTTATCAAGATGCTGGGCAGCCCCTGTGACTTCCTGCCCAAGGGGCACTGGCAAATGAGAATCTGGAGATGTGAGACAAGGGCCTCACGAGATGCTTCTCACTTGTCCTGAGTCCAATGACTTATCTCTTCCTCTCTCCATTTTACCCATCTGGTCCCCCTCCCTGTGAAGAATGTTTAAATTGGATCCTGTCACTGCCCATAGTGATCCTGTGCACGTTAATAGCTGTTAGCTAGCTCAATTTTGAAAATGAAATGTATTTTAATGAACACTGCCTTTAAAATTATTCAAAGTGTGTGTATACATTTTTTGGGACACCTTCTATTACCCAAAGGGGAAAGATCAGTAAGGCTTTAAGGGGTTAAAAAAATCCTTTTGGACTTGGAATTTCAGCATCCCACCTCCCTTTGAGAAGTTGATTAAATCTCTGAACTTTCTCCCTCAGAGAAAGCACACATACACATACACAGAATTTTGCATTTCATTTCAAGAAGCTTGTGAATCCCCTGAAGCCACCTACAAAATCTTGGCCTAGGTAAGACAAGGGAGAATATTTCAGGGTCTCAGGGAATCACCAGGTTGGGGTAAATGGTGTTCACCAGGATAATACAGATTCAGCAAAAGTCTCAGGCTACGCAGAGTCCAGCCACCACCTGCCCAGGGCCTGTAGACCATTTTGATTGGAGAATGGGTCTCAGGGAGTCATCAGGGTGGAGCTAGTGGAGTTCACCAGGATAATGCAGGCTCAGATTTGGCCATGTGGGGAGAGGGCTCAACACAGGGACAGTGGCGGCCATCCCTCCAGCCCTCTCCCTGAAGCCACACAACCCAGTTTCTCTCTGTATGTCTCTGGCACACCTTCCCACCCCACCCCACCCCACCCCCCAGCTTGACAGAATTCCTTGAGAATTTTTTGTTGTTGTCTTGTTTTAATATGTTTTTATTGACTTTCAGACAGAGAAAGGCAGAGGGAGAAAGAGATAGAAACATCTTATTTAATAAAGAGGGAATATGCTAATTGATCCTAATGCTGTCGCAAAGATGGGGGCGCCCACAGCCAATAAGGAGGGAATATGCTAATTGACTGCCCCGCCCTCAAAAGGCGGCACCCACAGCCACAAGATGGCGGTGCCCAGTCCCCTCAGCTCCGCCAGGGTGGCAGGTGCACAGCTGAGGGGACTGGGCACCGCTTTGCGTGCCTGTCTCTGGAGACCCCCAATTCCCTCAGCCCCCCAGCCACCCAGGGCCGGCATGAAGTGCAGGCAAGGCTTGAATGGTGGCTGCCCAGCTGACTCCCAAGGCACAG